CAAGTTGGCCATGTGCCACACATGTTGTTAGCTTAAAGACCAAACTAACTATATGGCCCACACATAGAAAAACTTGCCTTGTAAGTCAAGGCATGTGTCCTATAAAGTCAACACATATTGGAGGTCCTATAGAATATCGCCACGTAGCCCCTAGTTAGATAGTATATATAGAGACAAGAGTGAAGCCTTCTTTACTCTTGTCAACTCCTTTCTTGCTTCTAGTCTAGTTTCAAGGGTCTCTAGTATTCTTTGTTTTTGGCAATAGCCATTTCAGTTTCTTTCTTAATATACATATCAAGTTATTTCTTTTATGTCATCTTTCTTTGAGAGAAGTTTCACTCGTTTATTTGTTTTTATTATGTTCTTGTCCTTGATACTAAACAAATCTTTTATTATTGGCACAATTTGTCTATAATAATTTGGTACATTCTTTTATTTTACAAACATCTTTTTTTACCAATTATGGTTATTATCCACAATTTGATACTTTTGACTATTCAAAAGTTGATAATCCTATGACAAAAGATTTGAAAATTTATTTATTAAAGCTATATACAATATTAAAGACGTAGTTAAAAAAAACTTAAGAAAAACAAAAGATGAATGCAAATGCCTATTGCAAAGAAAAACTACAATTCAACGTGGATAACAAGATATGGCTACTTTGTTCCAATATCAAGACTATTCATCTTTGCAATAAGTTTGACTATCATAGGGTTGAATCTTTTCCTATTTGTAAACAAGTCAATCATATTGCTTATCAATTACATCTATAGGAGTCAATGAAGATTCGTCACTTATTCCATGTATTTCTTTTTGAGCTATAATAAATAATAAATATCTTGAAAGGAGACAAATATCACTTCTTTCTATAGAAATAGATTATAATGAAGAGTTTGAGATAGACAAAGTCTTAGATTCAATGTAGTATTAAAATAGATTAAAGTATCTTATTCATTAATATAGATATGATATTAGTGAACACATATAGGAATTAATAAAGAATCTAGCAAATGCAACAAAGATGATTGAGCCTTTTCATTAACATCCATCAAAACCAAGATGAAGAATTATAAGATCTATGAAAGATAATAATAGCTCTTTAAAAAACTCGTTTCTAAAAGAGAAGTAATTTCATGGATATATATATATTTACTCTAATATTTACCTATATGATTAAGTAGAAGTAGTTAAAATAAATTTATTTCATAATATTTTTAAGAATAACTTCTTAGAACCTCCATTGATGCTAATTTGATTTTAAATGTGTTTGTAGTTGATTAATAGGCTAGAAACTTGGTCAATAAGTTAATTACGTACTAATAGCTTGTCAAATAAGCTTATTAGGTGGCACACATATAAAAAACTTACTTTACAAGTTAAGATATGTGTCTTGCAAAGTCAACATGTTTTAGAGGTCTTATAGGATATTGCCACATAGTTCCTAATTAAGAATATATATGGAAGCAAGAGTAAAGTCTTCTTCAGTCTTATGAATACCTTTTTAATCCTTGGTCTTATTTTAAGACTTTCTAGTCTTCTTGTCTATAGCAATAACCATTTTAGTTTAATACTATATCATCTTTGAGTCATTTTTTTAGTTCTTTTGAATAACACAAGAATATATTGAGGATTTTTTTTTTTTTTTTTTTTTTTTTTTTATGATTCCTGTCCTTAATAAGATAAATTATTGGAATATAAAAGCCAAAACAAAATTTAAAGCTTTAAAAATAGTTTTTAATGTAATATTAAACTTATATTATGTTGATTTTTTAAGGTATTTTTTTAATAAAAATTAAAGTATTAGACTTTACTTTTGATTTAATATGGTAATAAATAGAAAGAGATGATAACTTCATGTTATAGCTTTTCATTTAAGAAAATATTCAATAACTAAGATCATTTACAAAATTTAAACCAAAAAAAAGAGATGCAATCTTTGACCAATAATAAATGATTTGTTTGGAGCTAATGCAATTTTATCTTTAAGCAATAGAATCAACATAAATTATTGATTTAAAATTTCTTGATTAAGTTTAACTAAGTATGTCTTCATATCTTTTTGTGCATAAAATTAAAAATAATTCTTCTAAATCCTACAAAACTATTGAATTTAAATTTAAAAATAATCTTCTTATTTTACATGATATTTATATATTCTAAAAACCAAACACAATCAAATATTCTTTGAATTCATTGTAATTTTTTAATTGTAAGATCTTGTAAATACAACAAATATTAAAATTAATATCAAAAGATTTTTAGTGGTTTCAAATGTAAAAGGTAGTTAAAGACTTTATTCAATCATGTGATATTTTTTTAAGATCAAAAATTCCTTATCATTAATCTTATACACTTCTTCAATCATTACTTATACTAAAACAATCAAGATTATCTATTTTTATGGATTTTATCATAGATCTTTAAATCTTAAGCATTTATGGCTCTATATTTGTGATACTAAATTATTTAACTAAATTATCATATTTTATATTATGTACAAAAACCATATGTAAAGAAAAACTAGACACCTTAATTTGATATAGGCAACAAGGTATAATTACTTTGTCATAATATCAAAATTTTTTGTTCTTGCAACAAGTTAGATTATTATAGATTTAAATTATTTTATATTTTTTTAGTAGATTAATTCAGTTATATATTAATTATAATTATTAGAGTTTATAAAGATCTATCTTGTATTTCATTTGCCTCTTTTTGAGCCATATAAGATAATAGATATACCAAAAGGATAATAAATGCTACTTCTTCTTATGAAAATAGACATCAATCAAAAGTTTGGGATAGAAGAGGTCTTAGTCTCAAGTCAGACCCAACATATGTTAGAATATCTTGTACATTAGCATAGATATGATACTAATAAATGCACATGGAAGTCATTTGAAAATTTTGGAAATATGGCAAAGAAAGTTGATAGTTTTCAATGACAATATTAATTAAAATTAAGATAAAGAGACAAAATATTCTTTGCTATAAAACAAAATATGTTCAATAAAGATTGTATTCTATATTCTATCATTATTTGTGATTTTTATGTATTTTTGGTATTAAAAATATGGAGAATTATTAATCAACAAATTCAATTTAAGTCTTGTTCTTAACTAAATTAACAAACAAGGCATTGAGATTGTCAAAATCTTCAAAACATCATAATAGAAATAAAAATCCTAAAAAATAATATGTTTTTTTCTTAAATAGATGGTAAGAAACAACACATTTGATATTATAATATTGGAAGAGATTCTTGATATTTGGTGATATTGTTGAAGGTAAGAACCACTTCTAATGGTATATCAAATATTTTATTTAAGAGAAGTTATGAAAGCTTTAATTATGATTAAATAATATGATTATTTTCTTGCCATGATATATGATACTACCAATGGTTGAGAAGACCTATCAATTATCTTCAAACATAACAAACATCAAAGTGTTTGATTAATAAGAAGTGCTACATCTTGGACTTCCTCAATATATGATCACTACTTATTGTAAAATTTGTTCCTAAAAAGAGGTGTAATATCACAAGCATCAATATTGATATTAATAATCATGACAATAAGAGAAGTTAGATAGAAGTAAGTAAAAATAGATAAATGATATAATATCTTATAAATAAACTTTATTGATGCAGATTTGACTTTACAAGTATTTGTAGGTAATTGGTGGATTAAAAACTTAGCCAATACATTGGATAGGTGGCACAAATGTTGACTACTTGTTTAGACACATTTAGCAATAGCTATTTTAGTTTCTATTTTATATCTATCTATGATTTGTTTACTTTCATTTTTTAAATGCTACAAGAATATATTATTATTTTTAGAATTTTATTATAATTTATATCCTTGATATATAATTACTTCTTACATGAATTTTTAATAAGACTTAGGTTGTATATTCAAATTAATTGTTCTTATTATTGTTTGAAATAATAGTGCTTTTAACTCTTACAACATTGATACATTTTTGTTTATATTTACGATCATTGTCAAATTAATCTTTAGAGATTAGTCAGATTAATCTCTTACACCTTCTTTATATAAGAGTATTTATGAAACACTCTAAATTTTGTTGATATTGTATACAATGAGCACTACTTGCTATGCATTATCATTGATTGTTATTAGAAGCGTTAACTTTTGTTGTAATTATGTATACATCATTCTCCCTTAAATACACCAATGGACTATTATTTCCATTGTCTTACTTCTTTTGGAACAAGATATACAAATACTCAATTCTTATTCAATTACTTGTAGAATTCTACAACGTTTGCAATTATTGATAGTTGTTGGTTGCATGTTACATCATCTCCCACATTCTAAATCACAAATTTTGTTCCATAGGTTTTGCGGTTGCAATTTGGATTGATTGATGTTGATTGAAAAAAAACTCTCAATTTTTTCAAGATAATGCAATAAAAAATAGGGGAATGAAAATATGAAAAATGTAAAAAAAGAAAGAAGAAGTTGTAAAGATGGCTGATACTTTTAGATACTATTGTTTGGAAGTATATACATAATCATTTAGGAACTATAAAATTTAATGATCCCACATAAATCATAAAAACTTCCATAATCTATAAAATTTCCATTCAACAATGTTATAGAAATGTGCCATCGCTTGAATCAAGCACGTCATAGATGCCTGCGTGACATGAACGGCTGATGCAAATGGATGACCTGGACAGGGTACATGGACAATATGACGTAGACGGGGTTGACATGGACAGTATGACGCAGAGGATGAAGCCCATCTACGATCAGAGGCGACGGAAGACCCCGCACCAGGCAATCGGGGTCGGCGATGGCGATGGCGATGGCGGAGCAATTCCCTCAGTCCCAAACCCCAAATCTCACTCAACCCCATTTTATCGCGGTGGACCGATCCATACATCGCTGGTTCGATGGAGCCACAGCAATTGAGGGAGACGAATGAGGAATGGTTATGGGGATTTGAGCAGCCAAGCCACCCCATGCCTCGCCACCGCATTCTCATCGTCATCGACACCCTCCCTCCCTCCCTCAGCCCCGAGCACTCGGAGATTCGCGCGCAGCGCGCTCCGACGCAACAATCCCAATCGCAATCATTACCTATTCCCAACGCCGAACACCGGACACCATCCCACACCCCTCATCTCATGTTCTCCCTTCTCTTGCCCCCTCATCTCCGCGCTTGACCCTTCCATTTCTCCCCGCCATCTCCCACTTCCCACCTCCCACCTCACCTCATTTTTCTGGATGCCTGCATTCCCCTCTCAGGACTTACCTGGGTACGCTCCTTGTGGTTGGGTTTCGTTTTGCTGAAGTTTTTGGGTGGTGGGTTCGATCTTGACACTTGGAAGAGCGCGAGTTGCGTGTTGTTGTTGTTGTTGGTTTTTGTGTGTGTATATGTTGAGTGTGCCGTTTGAGAGGTACGATGATGAGGAGTTGTTTGCGAAGTGGGGTTCTAATGTGCGTGCTGCTGGTTTGCGTTTCTGGGTGTATCGTGTCTGTGATTTAATTTTCATAGTCTGTTTTTCTTTTTGCTCTTTTTTTTAAAAAAAATTAACTTAAATTTCTGGCAGATTTAAACTGTGTGTGGGGGTATTGCCAAGCTTGTACAGAGTAATGGGGAATAGGGGAATTTTTTTGCTGTTGTAGGAGTTGAGTTTTGAGTGAGATCCTGAATTCTAGCGGGTGCGTGTTTTGGTCGTATACCTGTCTTTTCTTGGTAAGACAATGGGCAGTTGTGTTCAGTTTGAATTGGGGCGGCGATCTGGAGGCGAGGATGTCATTGGGTGTTTCAGCTACTCAGATAGTTGGCGGCTTTGGGAGAATAATAGAATTTTCTCCGTAACACAATGGAATAGAGCGAGTCTAGTTACAATGGCACTAACTAAACTGAACATTTCATGTGCCCAATTTGTGAGCTAGCCCTTGCTTGTCTGCTACTGCGTACAATCGCACTAATGTCTATACTGCCCTTGTGAGCCACAATTTCTTCGAGTATTCAGCCGTCTGAGTGTGTTATTATGCATCGCAGCTTGCTTTGAGTTAAGTACAGTTGTAAATCCTTGGAGGTCGATGTGGGGGACCATTTTGGGTCAAAGTTGATATGTCCGGTTTGATGTGAACATTCTTCCCTTTCTTTGTGTTCCAGGGTGACTGAAAACATTGTGTAGACAACGACAGCAGAGACACTGACTATACCAATCTGTAAAGACGGGTTTCTCTCTGAAGACATCACAAGGGATGTAGACACCGCGGAGAAAGACAATTTCTTTTCTATTTTTTAAATTTTTTATGTGGTTTATTTCGAGGATCTGGTGGACGGAAGCTTCGCCTTGCAGCAGGAAGATGTAAGTATGTGCAATGGCCTTTTCGCGTGTAATTGGCTTCACAAAGTTCATTTTCAGCCCACAATTTCAAACAAGCATAGCTTTCTATAATGTGGAGCTTGAGTGTTTTCCTTCAAAAACGTAATGAATCTTAGATACTTTGTCGAGACTAAAAATCGTAACCTTGAAATAAGGGGTTCCAGTTTTGAGCTAGTAAATTTGCAACCAGGTGCACAACCATTTCGCAAGAGTAATATATGCCTCTCATGTTCGATACTAGATTGCATGTTGACATCATGAAACATATTATTGTCTTTACTTGATACTATCGACAATTGTCACTTCTTAGGACCTTTGAAGATCCCCATCGTGTGTTGTGACTGTCGATAGTGAGTACTGTGAATTCCTACATCTCCGTTGCAGTATTCCTTTACCCTTGCATCGCCATTTTACATCTGAGCTAAAATAGTGGGAATTAGATTCTGCTCAACTTTACTGTCGATCTCACCGTAGACAAACCCAAGCCAGAACCAGATAATCTTTTCAGAAGCATCTCTGAAAATGATGGCGGGTGAGTTCATTTCTTGACGTGACGAGTTCTGGAACTTGGGATCGATGTGCTCTGTCTGATGAATGTGCTGACGGCGCAACCCAGGACTTACGATGACGCTCTTCTGCTCTTGGCATGCAGATACTGTTCTCGTTAGAGACCATCACCTGTCCAAGTCCAGTTGTTGTGATGCAGTTGTAAGTGATCGGAGGCGGGTGCCGTGGATCTTGACTTCGTCGAGTGGAGGTGCAATTGGTTGATCATAGGGGGCTGAGGCCGGAGTAGAATCTCGGGGTGGAAGGATGTCGAAGACTGTAGCTGGGTGGTTTGGACGCACTCACAGCAAGTCCTTCTCCAAGGACATCAACAAACATGACGGGCAGGGGTCGGAGCAGGAGGATGATAAGGAGAATAAGAGCGAGAAGTCGTTGACGAAATGCGAGTCCCTGCCGACGAGTCTGTCGTGCATGGAATCCGACGACGACGAGTCGCAAGCAGATCAAGAGGGGCCGTGTGTGAAATTTAACGAGAAGGAGCTGGGCCCGTTGGTGTCGTTGAAGGAGCAGCTGGAAAAGGACAAGGAGGACGAGAGTCTGAGGCGATGGAAGGCGCAGCTGCTGGGGGTGGCGAGTGAGGATGCGCCAGACGGTTTTGTGGAGCCGGAGGTGAACGTGCTGTCACTGGGAGTGATTGCGAAGGGACGACCGGACAGCGAGTTGCCGCTGCCGCTGGGGACGAACTCGCGGGGGTACACGTTCTCGCTGAAGGAGGGGTCGACGGTGGCGCTGAGGTACTCGTTCACTGTGCGTAACAACATCGTGTCCGGGTTGACGTGCATGAACACGGTGTGGAAGGCGGGGCTACAGGTGGATCAGACACGGGACATGATGGGGACTTTCGCGCCACAGCAGGAGGCGTACGTGCACGTGACGGAGGAGGAGGTGACGCCTTCGGGGCCGCTGGCCCGCGGCGCTTACACGGCGCGGAAGAGGTTCATCGACGACGACGGAAGGGTGCACCTGGACTTGGAGTACTCGTTCGAGATCCGGAAGGAGTGGTAGAGTGGAGGGGAGAAGGGCGAATGGGACGAGGGGAGTATCGATTGTGTGATACAGTAGAAGGTCGAGTGCAGCGCGGGCGCAAGCCTGCGCGCGGGAGGGAGGGATTAATGGAGTCGTTGGCAAGGCAGGGGGAGGAGATGGGAAGAGGCGAAGCCGTCGCTCGGATGAGATGGGGTGCAGTGCCCGTCGAGAGTGGGTGGCCGGAGACTTGCGGCGCAGCGCGTGTGGAAGCGTGCAGGAAGAGAGGGATCATCGAAGGGATGATGTGATATGATTTGAAGGAAGGTGTGTGGCGATGGGTAGGATGGCATGGCGTGTGCCGAAGTTAAGTTAAGGAGGTTGTGTGGACATTGATGGCGAAGTCTGGGTTGCCTATGTAATTTACAGCATTTTACACATGAGATGTGGAGGTTGAGGTGGTGTGTGTGGGATTTGAGTGGATGTGGGAGGCGTGGATGGGAGTGGTTTGTAGCGATGGTATGCGTAGTTCAACGATGAGATGGTATGGATTGTGGAATGGTTGGTTGGAGGAATGGGTGGGAGTGAGAGCGCGAGGCGTGTGGATCGGGGTGCGTGAATTTTTGGGTGGTATGGATGGTGGGCAGCATGCATTGTTGTGGTGGGTAGCAAGGGTTGATGCAGGGTGAGGGAAGTGAAGGAGAGGAGCAGAATCTCGGGCAGCGAGTAGGGGAGGCGATATAGTCGGGTTCGGGGACGCAGATGGAGAACGGGATTGCATTATGGCGTAGAATGGGATGGACGAAGCACAGGCAGCGCATGCGGTAGTGAGAATGAGAATAAGGGTGAGGACGAGAATGGGTGCGTGATGTATTTCAGCCTGGCAGTAGGAAAGCAGAGCGTAGATTGGTGGCATGAGCGTTTGGGAATGGCGAAGAGTGTTGGGAGGGATGTAGGTTTGGAGGTTATGAAAAGAGTGGAGCATGTTGTGAACGCAAAGAAGAGAACGGGCGGATTGTTGCAATTGATGTCTATGAATGAGGTTCTGTTTTGTAGCGTACTTTTTCGACGGGCAAGGGCAGAGGGGAGGGATGGTTTGACGGAAGGGACAGAAGTGGGTGTTGATCGTTGAAGTAGTTACATTGGCATGATCAAGGAGTGTGTGAGCGAAGGTTGAGGCTGTCTAAGGCATTGGAAAGTGTGGTTGTGAATGTGGATGATGCAAACGGTGGTGGACAGTACCAGCCGAAGTTGTGAGGATTTGCAGCTTGTTGAGAGACGTTCCAATGAGGGTGTTGGTAAGTGTCACTGAACAACTGTCAGTTACTGTGCATTACGAATGAATCACGAACTTCTCTGTTGATTGATGCCGTGATGTGCACAGCAATGAAGTATGCCTTCCGAGTCGATAATTTAACAACCTTATTCACCCATGGGAATTAAGCAACTCAAAGGCCACGTAAGCTGGACGTGCAACATAAATGACTTGGAGAAATCGATGAATTGTGGCATCTGAGGTTGAACCCTTTCTGATAAGTGTCAACTTGCTGGATTAGCATATACAGAAGATCTTAGTGATAATGTCAAAACCATGACGATGAACAGTAAAAAATTTGTCCGTGAGAATCAAAAGTTAACTTTTTGGCAAGTTAAAATTAAAATTTAACAATTATAAGGATAATACTATTTTTGTACAAAAATTGACATTTAAAAAATTTAAGAGTAATTTTTGTGGATACAAATAAACCAAATGACGTCTTTTGAAAGCTCTGCTCATAAGAAGCGTTATATTTTATTTCAGTATCAAACAATAATTAATGGTATTTGGACTTTAGTAACTTAATGTTATGTTCAATAGAATCTTCTTCCAAATTATAAAAGTATATACTTTATATTATCTAATTATATTAAAAATTTGGTGATTTTACAAAACAAATAATCTGTTCACACTGATATATTTAATAAATTCTTTTGTCATCCATGAGTATACAGACATAGATGTTGAGTAGCTGTAAAATCACCCACTAACAAGATATTTGTACGCAATCCACTAACAAGATAGCAACTGTTGAGAGTCTCTAAAATATTGATAAAGGAGGTGTAGGGTACATGATACAAGGTTTTTAAATTTAATCATTTTTTTACAAACTTGATTTTTATTGCTAGTAAAAATATTAACACAATATACTCAATTAAATATCTTAACATTTTTTTTTATCAACAGATTACTATCTCACTACCTAGAGCTAAAGATTTGAGCTTTTATAATAATATTTCAAAACATTGCTCACAAATTGTGTGACAAAAGCATACCTTATTAAAATAAAATATATATGTCAATTGAAATTATTATAAATAATTATAATCAAAATCAAACTATAAAACAAATTAGCTTACAAACTTTAGATATAGAAATTTTGTTTAAATTATAATAAAGAGATTGTTTAATCATACAATCATATATATATATATATATATATGTATAGATAATTATTATTAAAAAAATATTATATACTATAATTAATCATTACTTGATGTTAATTATTTTTCTTTATTTTTTTTTTATTTTTTTTGGAAGTCTCTAAGTATCATCGATATATGTATTTATTCCAATAATTATCTATATGATTAGCAAGAATTAAGTAAATGTACATTAATTTTATAATATCTTCTAAAGAAGCTTCCTAGAAGCTTTATAGAAATGGTTTTGTCTTTACACATGTTTGTGATTAATTGATAAGTTAAAAACTTAATCAATAAGTTAACCACATACCACACATGTTAGTAGCTTGTGGAACAAGGTAATTATGTGGTGCACATAAAGAAAACTTGCCTTGCAAGTTAAAACATGTGTTTAGCAAAGTTAACACATTTTGAAGGTCTTATAGAATATTACCACATAGCTAGTATATATATAAATAGTATATATAGAGGCAAGAATGAAGCCTTCTTCACTCTTTTCAATACCTTTCTAACACTTACTCTTATTTGAAGACTTTCTAATCTTTTTGTCTTTGGTAATAGTCATCCTAGTTTAATATATTATCATCTTTGAGTGATTTCATAGTCTTTTCAAGTGATATAAGAGTATATTGAAGATTTCTTTTTTCAAGATTCATGTCTTTGGAAATTTGACAAGAGTGCTAATTTATTGTTCTTATCTTATTTTAGAAATAAGTGGATTATTTCACTTCTATTGTTGTATTTTAAAAGCCGCGGACTATCCGCCTTTAAATAAGCAATTTAGTTTTCTAACACTGATTTTTTCCTTAAAGAGTGAATTATCCCTCTTTATAGAAATTTTTATTTGATATTAGAGGTTATAGATTATCTTCCTTTAATTTAACTTCTTGAATTTGTTTGAATTGTCTATGAAAGGAAAGATTATGAATGCTACTCTTAGTAGAAAAGAGAATAGATTTGCAATTATTACAAATCTTTATGAGCTTGTCAAGATTCTAAGAGTAAAAATCTCACATACCTCTAACATGAAGCATAGAGAAACTATTCCTATACATATAGAAAAAGTCCAAAGTCTACACCAAAAAGTTGTGTAGTTGAAAGAAGTAAGTAGATCAGCCTAACAACGAAATCTAAAATGTCTTGCTTCTACAAGTACAAGAGAGGGAAAAATTAGTATACTCAAAAGCTTGATAGAACAAGATCAAAATTTTGAATATTTTTCCAACAAATTAAGCTCTATTTAAGGTTGCATCCTTTTTAATATTCCAATGGATTTACTCAAGTTAGATTCATACATGCACTTCTATAAAGAAGTACTCTCTTTTGCTTTGCATCTTTGATAGAAAAAGATTCACAACTACTCTATGATTTGAATTCATTCTTGAAAGTATTTATGGCTACATTTGGAAAAAGTGATCAATAAAAGGTAGCAAAGATCAAACTCATATTGTTATGACAAAGATTACATTCAACCACTACATATGCTGCTAAATCCCAAAATCTTCCAACGTGCATTGGAATAACACAGCTCTTATCAATTAATTTTGATATGAGTTAAAAAATAATATCAAAGATGTATTGTTGATAATGCCAATAGCAGATTCATTGGAGCAATTTATTTTTCAAGCTATTGCATGTGATAATCGACTCTTTGAAAGATGTTAGGAACAAAGATTTGGTTAAAAAAGTACAAGTCAAGGCATAGCAACACCTTCTAAGTTTTCAAAAGCTTATTTATTTACACCAAAGCCTATGCAAATTCACATGGTATGTTTTAAACCTCTTAATAAGCAAGAAATGATTTTTTATCAAAAAGGTTTGTATCTTTTTTATAGAGAATCCAAGTATATTGCTCAATATTGTCCAAAGAAGCAATGCAATTACAAAATAAAGAACATGGTTACCAAAGAGAAAGATGTGTCAAAAAAATAAGTTTCTCTAGCTATAATAGTGACTTTGCGACTAGAATCTCGTATAATACTTAGTAGAGGTCTTATTCTCTCTTTATATCATTCACCTATTGTTCTCCTTATATTTTACAATAGAAATTTATTTAGGACCAAAAAATCACAAAGTCTTAGCCTTATTAGATTCAAGAGCTTCAACTTGTTTTATAGACAAAGACTTTGTCAAAAAACAAGAGATATTGTTAGTCAAGAAAATTAAATCTATACATGTATAAGTCATAGATGGTTGTTTATTATCTTTTACAGATGTTACCTATGAAATTATTCCTTTAGATATAGCAATTAAAGACTATAATAGTGTAATAATATTTAATGTAATAAAATTTCCTTTTAATTCAATTATTTTAGAATTATTATAGTTAAAATAATATAATCTTCAAATAGATTGGATTTCTTCTAACCTTAACTTTTCTTATAGTTTGATTGAAAATTTCATTAGTTGAATAGAAATACATAAATCTTGTACATTTAAAACTTTATTAGTAGGTGCAAAAGCTTTTATATATGGAATAAAAGAAAGATCATTATTTGCTATATATGCCATGTCCATTTTTGATAGTAAAAAGATATCAAGTGGTATTTTTAACTAGTATTAAGATTTCTAGGACGTTTTTAAAAAGAAGAATGAAAATATTCTTTTAAAGCATTGATCCTATAATTCTTCAATTAATTTACAAAAAAGAGCTCAACCACCATTTGGATTAATCTACAACTTATTGCAAAATGAATTGGTTGCAGTAAAGGAGTACATTGATGAAAACTTAGCTAAGAACTTCATATGCCATTCAAAATCTTTGATAAAAGTTCCTATCTTATTTGTGAAGAAAAATGATAGATCTATGTAGCTTTGCATAGACTATCAAAGACTTAACAATATCACCATCAAGAATAGATATCCTTTATTTTTGATTTTAAGACTTCTTGACCAACTCAATCAAATAAAGATCTATACAAAAATACATCTATGAAGAACATACAACTTGATCTACATCAAAAAAAAAAAAAAATGAACA